TTAATTAATTAAAATTTTTTTTGAGACAGAGTCTTTCTTTGTTGCCCAGGTTGGAGTGCAGTGGTTCAATCCAGGCTCACTGAAACCTTCACCTCTCAGATTCAAGCGATTCTCCTGCCTCAGCCTCCTGAGTAGTTGTAATTACAGGCATGTGCCACCATGCCTGGCTAATTTTTGTATTTTTTGTAGAGACAGGGTTTCACCATGTTGGCCAGGCTGGTCTCAAACTCCTGATCTCGAGTGATCTGCCCACCTCAGCCTCCCAAAGTGCTGGGATTACAGGCATGAGCCACTGTGCCTGGCCCAGAAATGTTATTTTTTAAATGAGACGTTTGGGGAGAGTGTCCCTTGTTCCTTTTTCCTGTGCGCTTTAGGCAGCCTGCTCCTGTACAATAGCTGGAAAAGCTCTGAAGAACTACATATAGAACTGAATGAATTCAGGATGGCCTGTTGGGAATGTAGAGAATTTAAATTTAAATTTACAAGATTTTTATTGATTGGTTCACTGAATTTGACTTTCTTTGGTTTTGATTCAGTTAGATTGTTTTAACAGATAAGTCATTATTAATTTTTCTTTTTCTTTTGTTTTCGTCGTCATCTTTTTTTTTTTTTTTTTTAATAGATGAAATCTCGTTCTGTTGCCCAGGCTGGAGTGCAGTGATGTGATCTTCATTCACTGCAACCTCCGCCTCCCGGGTTCAAGTGATTCTCTTTGGCCTTCCTAGTAGTTGGGATTAGGTGTGAGCCACCACACCCGGCTAATTTTTGTATTTTGAGTAAAGACGGGGTTTCACCACGTTGGCCAGGCTGGTCTTGAACTCCCGACCTCAGGTGATTTGCCTACCTCAGCCTCCAAAATTGCTGGGGTTACAGGTGTAAGCCACTAGCCTAGCCTATCACATTAATTTTTCTTATAGCTTACTTGAGAATGAGGAGGATAGAGGTAGAAGAGACTTAGATCTGGTGGGTCAGAGGAAGTAATCCCAGACACCTTCAGTATAAAAGTCAGACAGTAGTGTGAAGAAAAAGAAGATTGCTTGAGGCAACTCTAGGAAGAGTCTAGAATGGTAATTGCAGTAATCTGACTACATCCAAAAGAAAGGGCAAAATGGAGCCAACTTCCCTGAGAGCAAACAAAGATTTTGTTGAGCGAAACATTGAAACACTGCTTAGGTATTTGTAATTGTCTTATTTTTAAAATATTTAAGTTATAAACCATTTAAATCATTAACAAGCTGTTGTCTTATAAGAAATTTTGCATTTTTAAGGGTTTTTCTTTTCTCTTTTTCTCTTAGCCACCATATGAGAAGTAAGCAGTATCATATCAGTAAAATAATTATATTCTTTTTCTGGACCTTGTGATCTTCACAGCCTCAAACAGAAGTAGACAGAAAGTTAAATTAGCTGGGAAAAATGCCATTTAAGTTAATAAATGCTTCCCACAATCTGTTTTCAAGTTTAAGAATTCACATTATTTGTGCTACAGAACTAACTATAATGACAAAGAAACATCAACATGCAGGCAGTGTTCTTTGTTACATTTTTTTTAACAAAATGTAAGTTATGAGATTTATAGAGAGAAAAATTATCAATTCACTAATATTAATTTTCTGTTTGATGACATATCCTTTCTTGTTCTGAATTTAAGATGCACACATTAGAAAGCTAATAGTTTGACGGCTATTTTCATGTAAGAGGAAAAAGTAAAAAATACTCTGTGGATTTCCACAAATATTAAAAATTTTAAATTTGTTCAGTTGTTTCTGGTTGTATAGAACAATGTAGTTGATGCCTTAGAACAATTCTATTACTGAAACACTAATTATTTTTAGATAAATACATTTCACAGTTCATTTAGCTTTCCAGGATGTGCTGTTACACAAAAATTACTTTAGAAAAACAATGTTTTCACCGGCCGGGCGCGGTGGCTCAAGCCTGTAATCCCAGCACTTTGGGAGGCCAAGGCGGGTGGATCACGAGGTCAAGAGATCGAGACCATCCTGGTCAACATGGTGAAACCCCGTCTCTACTAAAAATACAAAAAATTAGCTGGGCATGGTGGCGCGTGCCTGTAATCCCAGCTACTCAGGAGGCTGAGGCAGGAGAATTGCCTGAACCCAGGAGGCGGAGGTTGTGGTGAGCCGAGATCGCGCCATTGCACTCCAGCCTGGGTAACATGAGTGAAACTCCGTCTCAAAAAAAAAAAAGAAAAACAATGTTTTCATTTTGATAGCATAGGTATATATATGCTGTACAAAGGTATAACTATCAATAAAAAATTTTGGTCTCATAAAAATGACCCATGAAACACCTGGCATAAGTTACCTAAAGGTTTCTATTTTAAAATTGCAAAACTCCTTTTAGGTGAAAAAATAGTGTTTTTAAAAAGATACAACAAATATGTATTGAGTTCCCACTATGTGCCAGGCTTTATATAGCAAAGTAATATCCTAATTCATTGGGTGCCTGATGTGAAACTGATATCAAATCTGTAACAGTAAAGGACTCTGAAACTCTAAAATCCTCAATACAGCACTCCTTTATTCTGCCCACCATGGGCTTTTAGGTGTTGCAAGATAAGGCAGCAGAGATCACTTACAAAATATTAAGTATTTTTGTGATACTTAATATATTGTGATACTTAAAATATTTTTATGATACTTAAGTTCATTCTAAAATTTGTAGGGAAATGCAAAAAATCTAGAAGGCAATTACAATGAGGTAGTACTGCTTGATTTACTAGCTATCAAAAATTACTATAAAACTGTAGTAATTAAGATTGTTTAGTACTGAGATAAGGATAAATAAATAGAGCAATATAACCAATTAGAGAGCTCCTAACAGGCTGGTGCAAATATAGGCACTGCTATACAGCAAAGGTGTAACAGGAAAATAGTGGGAAAAAAGATGCTCTTTTAAATGACTATCACAGGCACAACTGGGTATCCCTGTGGAAAACAGGGAAATTGGCCTTCTCCTTCACATTATACTAGAAAGTCAATTCCTGATAAATTAAATGCAGTAAAACTTTTAGAAGAGACTATCTTTATGACATTGAAGTAAAGAAACATTTATTTTAAAACCACAAAACAACTAACCATAAAGGAAATACTTAATAAAAAGTTAACTCAATTAAAAATAAAGGTTTTCTTCAGCAGAACGTTAACTAATTTAAAAAAAAAAAAAGATAAAGGCTTTCTCTTGGAGTATATTTGATTTCAAGTAAAGAGAAAAAAAAAAAAAAGAAAGAAAAAGTAAAGGCTTTCATAGAAGATACCATGAAGAGAAACTTAATCCTTTATACCATATATAAATGACAACTGACTTGTATTCAAAACTTATAAATATGTCCTACAGACCGAAAGACTAGGGCAGGCACTTCACAGGAAAGGAAATCTAGAAGGCCAATAAAAATTAAAGTCACAGTGAGATGCCACTGTATAAATATTAAAACATCTCACAATAACAAGTGTTGACAAGGAAATGAAGAAAGCTACAGGAACTCTTTGTACACTGCTGTTAGATTTGTAAGTTAGTACAGCCACTTTGGAAAACAGTTTGGCATTCTCTTGTGAAGTTGAAGAAACGTATATGTTATTACACAGTATTTTCACTTGTAGATATATATCTAGATCAGTGTGTAATTAAAATGTTCATCATTAGTAGAATGGGCTAAATAAGTTGTGGCATATTCATATAGTGATATACTATGAAGACAGTGGAAATGACAACTATTGCAATATGCAACTACAGGATTCAATCTCAGAAGCTGAATGAAGGTCACCAATGAATACACATACAGTATTCTCTCTTTCTTTTTTGAGGCTGAGCCTTACTCCATCGCATAGGCTGGAGTGCAGTGGCACGATCTCGGCTCACTGCAACCTCTGCCTTCCGGGTTCAAGCAATTCTTCTGCCTCAGTCTCCAGAGTAGCTGGGATTACAGCTGCCTGCCACCACGCCCAGCTAATTTTTGTGTTTTTAGTAAAGACAGGGTTTCACCATGTTGGCCACGCTGGTCTTGAACTCCTGACCTCATGATCCACCTGCCTCGGCCTCCCAAAATGCCAGGGTTACAGGTGTGAGCCACCGTGCCGGGCCGTTCCAATGATACTTTTACATAGGGAAGGTAGGATAAATGTTTGATTTTTCCTCTTAATTTTCTCAAGTGTTTGATTTTTCCTTCAGTTGTATTAGTTTGTTTTCATGCTGCAGATAAAGACATACCTGAAACTGGGAACAAAAAGAGGTTTAATTGGACTTACAGTTCCACAGGGCTGGGGAGGCCTCAGAATCATGGCAGAAAGTAAAAGGCACTTACACAGCGGTGGCAAGAGAAAATGAGGAGGAAGCAAAAGTGGAAACCCCTGATAAACCCATAACATCCTGTGAACTTACTCACTATGACGAATAGCATGGGAAAGACAGGCCTCCATGATTCAGTTACCTCCCCACTGGGTCCCTCTCACAGCATGTGGGAATTCTGACAGTTCAAGTTGAGATTTGGATGGGGACACAGCAAAACCGTATCACCAGTGTACAAGATGATGTATTAGTTCTCTGTCATCTTTTTTGGGTGTGTGTCGTAAACTCGTAGTTCAATGTATGTGATAAATTTCAGTGTATTGCAGTCATCTTTATCAAAGCTCAGATTGCCTCATCTTTGGCCATTGGGAGCAAAGATGGTTCCTGAGTGCTTTTGACCTGATCTTGATCATCCTTGATAAATTAAGGGACAGTATTTTTTGTTTTGCTTTTCAGAAACCTCAGCATGTTTTCTGTGCCTTTAGGAAGGTGGATTGTAGGGATCTGTTTGTTTTAGGATATTTGAAACTGACTGATACAATCTTTGATATAATTTGTAAGCAGATATGCCTTCGAAGTTGTATTACTTTTAAAGAGTAATTGTTTTATTTTTTTAGCATATGTGGAAAATCAAAACATTTCAATAAAATAAGTTCCAAGGACTGATTTTAAACCTAATTTAATATCTCTTTTAGACCTGTCACGAAATCGTCTTTCAGAAATTCCTGTAGAAGCATGTCACTTTGTTTCTCTTGAAAATCTCAACTTGTACCAAAATTGTATTCGGTATATTCCAGAGGCAATTCTAAACCTACAAGCTTTAACATTCTTAAATATTAGGTAAGAATGTTGTTTTCTTATTTTAAATTTTTGATTTTATGTGATCTTTTCAATTTTCCCCTCTCACTAAAATATTTACCTATGTATATGTTATCTAATCATATCAGGAGTTTCTATATGTGCTCGTGGGATATATTAACAGTATTTCCTGTGTCCCTCCAGTTTCTCTATCTTTGGCTTTGCAATACAGATGCTCCCTAACTTACAGTGGGGTTGCATCCCAGCAAACCCATCTAAGTTGAAAATGCATTTCTGACATAATCCATCAAATGTTATAGCCTAGCCTAGCCTACTTTAAATGTGCTCAAAACACTAACATTAGGCTACAACTGGGCAAAATCATCTAACACAAGGCCTGTTTTATAATAAAGTATTCCATAGCTCATATAATTTATTAAATACTGTACTAAAGTATGGTTTCTCCTGGATGTGTATTGCTTTCTCACCATCATGAAGCCATTGTAAGTCAGCTGTTGTTAGTCGGAGATGCCGGTAATTAACAGATCTTGCTAGCCATTTGCCTAATGGGCTTGCAGCAGTCTTGTAGCAGTGCTTCTCCGATTATGCTTTCTAATCTGCCTCATCAAATAAGAATAGTAGATCTGAAATTACTTTGTTTCTTGTGACCATATTTGCATATTAAGTTCTGAATATATAAATGCATTCATTCATCTTGTCTACTCCATTTTCACATCTTAAAATAACTCTTTTGTTGTTTTATTTCACTATAAAATTTGCAGATGTTCATTGAAGATAATGTGTAGATGTGGAAAAGCATATAGGAAATTCATCAAAATGTATCTGAATTTTATAAGTGATCTTTTCCTTCTGTTTTTCCAGGCTTTTAGTCAAATTTTTAAATGAGTTTTCTCCTTGTCATAAAACATTTTTTAAAACTTTTGTATGCAATTATTTTGTTGTACAGTTTATATACTCTTGAAAATACATTTTCCTCTGGGATCTTTAGTTTCTTCTAGTTTTTCATCATGATAAAAATAATGTTAGTAGAGAATTTTGTATGTAAATGTTTAGTTTTTCTTTAAGATAGATACCTGGGAGTGGAATTGTTACTGTACTGAAAAGTTTTAAAGGCTCATGACCTCAATAAAAGATCTTAAAAATGGAGAGGGAATTGGTCCTAAGGATTAAGAGGTTGAATCTACATACATAAAAATCTTAATTTATTTTTGTCTTGATAGATGTGTTTTATTATTTTACTTTTAGTTCTGGTTTGCATGTTTTTGTATAAGAAAAAATTATTTACCTGTAATGTAGTTGATGTGATCTGCGAAATCACAACTTACTGCTTTTTTCCCATAGAGCTATAATTTAATCATTTATGTACATTTGATTATAATATTGTAACAGCGAGGAAAGTAGATCACAAGTTTTGTTTATAACTCTTCTTCAGAAGGAAGGAGGGTGATATTATCCACCTTTAGAAAAATCTTTTCCTACATAAACTTTAATAAAATGATACTGTGTTTATATAGCACTTAATTTTTTACAGAGGAGTTTTATTGTGCAAGAGCCCTGGAAGGTAAGAGGGAGATATTAAGATCTGCAGTTAACAGATGAGGAATCTTTGTAAGATGCAGATTAAGTTCAGCCACAGAGCTGACCACCAATAAAATGAAGGCTAGAACTCCAATACCCTGTTTGTTTCTTGCAGTACTCATGTTTATTATTTTACTGAGTATAGAATGAGAAAGATGGAAAACTTTTCTTCAGTGGTGGACTCTGATTCTGTCTTTCTACTTACCCATTTAGTCGGAACCAACTGTCAACTTTGCCGGTACACCTGTGTAATTTACCATTGAAAGTCTTAATTGCTAGCAATAACAAATTGGTGTCACTTCCAGAAGAAATTGGACACCTCAGACATTTGATGGAACTTGTAAGTTAATCATTTTTATCGTCCAACGTGTGTGTGTGTGTGTGTGTGTGTGTGTGTGTGAAACTTTGGAGAGAGAGGTGTATCCAAAGTCATACCATACTCTTTTATATGGCAAAGATTGATTATTAAGATATGTTTTTGACTGATTTTCTAGTATTGGTAATGAATCATTTACTGAATTTTCAGTACTCAAGTAGTTGACATACAGAATTAAGAAATAACTGAAAGTACAAGCCCAATAGGCCCACACAGATGGGAAAAGGTCATTAGAATTATATTGTAGCCAATATTAAATGATTTCTATGTCGTTAAATTTTTGAGATATGTTAATATATTTGAATTTTTCAAACTAAATTTATTCGTATCATCAGTATTCTGATTTTTGATTAGCTCCTATTGGAGAGTGACATTACAAAGGTCAGGTTTATTTTTTTGCCTTACATTATACCTTTAGAACCTATTTCCCATTCTGTAAAGTAAAATATACTTCATTGCCATGTATTTTCTAAGATATGTAATTGTATCCTACCACTCTTTGTAAATGAAATCACTTCTGGCCGGACGTGGTGGCTCATGCCTGTAATCCCTGCACTTTGGGAGGCCAAGGTGGGTGGATCACCTGAGATCAGGAGTTCGAGACTATCCTGGCCAACATGGTGAAACACTGTCTTAAAAATAAATAAATAGAATAAAAATAAAATCACTTCTTGAGTATTTATCTTCAGAGCATGGGAATAACAATTTTCTCAATCACTGTAATAGTATCATGAATTGATTACTAAAATTATTTTCATTTTGTAGCTGAGAAGCTTGCACTCAAATAGGTTAAATAATTTGCCTAAGGTTATATAACAGAAGTAGTATTTGAAACCAGACTACCTTAACTTGTTCTGAAGTGGTCAAATACAATTATAATTGTCCATTAGGATTTAGGGGTATGGCTACATGTAGGTTTATTAACAAATGATTATCATAAATAAAAAATTAATACATATGGAATATAGTTGGATCATTTTTTCCAGGTAGATTAAGAGCTTACATGTGAAAATTCACAAATATGTTAAAACTAGAGTCTAGATTCTAGACCATTACTTTTAGAGCCAGTTAGACTAGTAAACAAATATCAGAATGAATGTTTATCAGCATTTTGTCAGAACTTAGGTTAAAAACATGTACTAGGTAAACTATAATTCAAAGTCTTATTTTCAAATCATTTAAACTTTTTGTTTCTACTTATTCAGTTCTAAATACTTAAAAGACAGGTATGTGTTACGGAAGCTGCTTTTCGTTTTCTACAAAAGGGGTTGAGATCCTCAGTCATATAAGGAAATTGTGGCAGAATAAGAATTAGTGTCCTGGCTGGGTGCACCGGCTCATGCCTATAATCCCAGCACTTTGGGAGGCCGAGGTGGGCAGATCACCTGAGATCAGGAGTTCAAGACCAGCCTGGCCAACATGGTGAACACCTGTCTCTACTAAAAATACAAAAATTGGCCCAGTCTAGTGGCACACACCTGTAATCCAGCTACTTGGGAGGCTGAGGCAGGAGAATCGCTTGAACCCAGAAGGCAGAGGTTACAGTGAGCCAAGATTGCACCACTGCACTGCAGNAAAAAAAAAAAAGTGTCCCTGAAGCTCTCCACTCCCATCTGATGGTCTTTCAGCAATATCCTCGTTGCCTCTTTCGTTTTTTCCTCTTCATTAAGTGAAAGCAAACTGCTGTTTTCAACATACATATTTTCTGAGAGATTATACACTGATACTACCTTTTGGCTCAGACTCAGTTTTTCTATCCTTTCAACTTTTTTTTTTCTAGCTAGGATTTGAACCTATATCCTTTCAACTTCTTTTAGAACCCTTTTAATGCCTAGAGCATTGGACTAAGAAATCTAGCTTCCGGCCCAGTGCAGTGGCTCACGCCTCTAATCCCAGCACTTTGGGGGGCCGAGGCAGGTGGATCACCTGAGGTCAGGAGTTCCAGACCAGCCTGGCCAACATGGTGAAACCCTGTCTTTACTAAAAATACAAAAATTAGCTGGGCACGGTGGCGCGTGCCTCTAATCAGTCTCAGCTACTCGGGAGGCTGAGGCAGGAGAATTGCTTGAACCTGGGAGGTGGAGCTTGCAGTGAGCCGAAATCAGGCGACACCAGCAAGACTCCGTCTCAAAAAAAGAAAAAGTCTTAGCTTCTGATTCTATTTATTAATTCGTAGGAAAAGTAAAAATAGTATTTTCTGTAAGCGTATTTTGAGAAAATTAAAAAAAATAATGTTTGAAGCTTATTTAAAATTTTGGCAAGCAGTCTTTTTAAATTCTTTTTGCTGTTTTTGAAAAAGAAATAGAGATGAGGCCTTACCATGTTGCCCAGGCTGGTCTGAAACTCCTGCGCTCAAGCCATCCACTCACCTTGGCTTCCCAAAGTGCTGGAATTAGAGGCATGAGCCTCCACACCTGGCAGCAAGTGGTCAATTCTAAATAGTAAATGTATTATTTTCTTTTAGTCATATTGGAAGAATTTTAAGTTTTAATGTGGCAGCTCAGAGGTTTTATTAACCTAGGCAGCTTCCCTCTGTTACACATAATTATGGGTTTACAAATTATTCAGAATTACGGTATTCTGAATTTATTAATCTTGGAATCTGTAGGTAGTCTCTTTTCAGAACCATTGAATCAAGCTGTTAAGTAAGGTACCGGAATGTCTACCAAACATCTAATTTTCTAGACAGTTTAAAGCAGACAAGTTTGTAATGTTAGGATAATCTTTATTTTGTATTTTTTCAAAATAGGATGTGAGCTGCAATGAAATTCAAACTATCCCTTCCCAAATTGGTAACCTGGAGGCCTTGAGAGACCTTAATGTAAGAAGAAATCACTTAGTACATTTACCTGAAGGTAAGAAATGATGAAATAATTTATTATTATTATTATTATTATTATTATTATTTTAAAGCTCTCTCAGAGCAATCAAGACAAAAATGTATAAGGATTATATCCAGGCTAGGCGCTGTGGCTCATGCCTGTAATCCCAACACTTTGGGAGGCAGAAGAGGGAGGATTGCTTGAGCCCAGGAATTCGAGACCAGCCTGGGCAACATAGAGAGTCTATCTCTACAAAAAATTAGCCCAGTGGGGTGGCACATGCTTGTAGTCCCAGCCACTCAGGAAGCTGAGGTGGGAGGAGTCCCTGAGCCCAGGAGGTCAATCAAGGCTGCAGTGAGCTGTGGTAGCATCACTGCACTCTAGCCTGGGCACCAGAACGAGACCCTGTCCAAAAAAAAGGAGAGAGAGGGGGAAAGAGAGAGAGATTGAGAATGAGAGAATGAATGTGTGTGTGTGTTACGTCCAGTGTTTGAAATCTGATGGTTTACTTAATAGTGTTACCTGTTTCATTGTGGATTTTAAAAGCCTCTTCAATGAAAAGTTTGATAACTGTTAACCTTTGATTTTATTTTTACCTCTTGTCAACTGATGTAATCAATAACTTAGAGTAGGGTCACTGAAAATTTCAGTAAGCATGACTGTTTGAGGGAAATATAACGTTTGGATAAGGGGATATTATAGTATAATGAAAAACATTCCCACAGTTAGCACTCACTTAAAAATGAACTTTGACCTGAACTTAAGTTTACCCATCACTGGAGATGTTCAGACAGAGGCTAATGAACCATGTGGAGGTGATGTGTGGTGTGAATGGTAAACGGGGTGAGAAACTGCACTAAGAGACCAGCT